CTTCTTTCACAGGAATTTGGAGGATGAATGAGGTGTATCCTTCGCTGCTACAGATATCCCACAATTCTTTGCATCGCCGTAAACAACCGTTGTTAATTTGAAAAATACTGTACGTACGCTGCAGCTCCTCAAACATTGAACAAAATAAAACAAGTAAAAGCATTTTTTTTTTTCAAATTACTTTCCAAATTTAGAAAATAATTTTCCTTCCTTTAAGTAGTGTGATAGCGCAACCATGCTCTAAATGTGTTGGCATAGCAACGTGATACTTCCTGTTTCTTTTTCCGCCCGTCCTACGAAGGCCGTCTCGTTTAATTCTAGGCTGAGGACACTTCGTATATGCATCCTACAGAGGATGCGACCTCCAGATAATGGTATTTGTATTATGGATATAATCAAATTGAAATGGCAATTTTACTTTTGATTAAATATGAATACAGGTAACATTACATCAGTGAGCACGGCCATATTCTATGGCAAGGTAAAGAAGAAAAGGGCAGAACTGGCTCTTCCTGCAGATGAAAAAAACAGCTTTGTGAAGTTTCATGCATAAAAAAAGGTGATCTTTCAAGGATTAAGGGGGGATGGAGGGATGGGGGGCTCATGTTCATAGTCTTCCTCTCATAAGATTGCGTAATGCTGAATTTTCATGAACTGCAATGTTTTTGGTTTTATGTCAATGTTTTATGATACATGATATACAGTATTATATTTGTTTTAACTGTATACATTTGCAATTTAAATAATATTCATGAAAAATTTAATGAAATAAAAAAATTAAAAATCATTATTCAGCAAAAAAAAAAAAAGAATGGAATAAATAAAAGCACAAGTTGTTGGAAAGCATGTATAAGGGGTCAATTATAAGTACTGTGTTAAAGCTTATAATAGCACCAATTGAAACAAAACAAACAAAATTTCTGAGGAAAAATATTAACTATAAGTAAACTTACACTTATTCTAAGTTAGATCCACTATTGTATGCTGTTGCCGTATGGCAACATATCATAAAGTACCTTAAAATAATATTTTTTTCCCAATTTATTTTTACAGCACTTCAAGTTAAGCCATTCTTAGAAAAGAAAAAGAGTCAAATATTGTTTCCTGTAGGTCTATCATAATGCGCGCGGTAGGCTAAAAAACGAAACTAAAATAACTGTGTTGCTTTACCACAGAGGACATTAAACTAAACTAAACTAAACTTGTGCCATTTTATTGTACATATTATTTTAACTAAACTAAACTAACTGGGTTGCTTTACTTTAGAACTCAACTAAACTGAATTAAGCTAAAAACTAAACTAATTGTGTTGCTTTACCACAGATGACATTAAACTGAAGTAAACTGTCTGTGCCATTTTATTACATTGGACATTTAACTAAAGCAAAGACTGAACTAATAGAGAATTCATCTAAACCAAACTAAACCGATAATAAACCGCCTGTGATGATAGTGCTGATCTGCCGCAGATAGTTCAGAGTTCACGTGTGACACATTTACAGTCAAATCAAAGAGCTTCATAAATGATCCACATTAAACTGGAACTGATCAAAGGACACATAAGCTTCTGTGGGCTGATCACAGACACAGCGCTAACAAAAGGGAAGAGAAATAAAGAGAAACGCCAGCATAACTACTCTTTATCCAGCATATGTGTGTGAGAGATCAAACCAGACACGCTTCACAGCACGCAGTCAGAGTCAGACTAAACAGATCGCGTCCAGATCCACAGAAGCCTTCATAAACCATCGGTCAGATCCAGCCGCACACGAGCGAAAGTCAAGTGTGTGTGGAGCAAGAGTTATGAAACGAAGAAATGTGTCTGTAAAGAAGAGGATAAAATAAGAGAGCACTTACTAAGGTTTGCGGGTTTTCCTCCCAGCAGTGCGCAAGAGATGAAATGAAACACACACATACAACAGTTCCTTAAGATGAGCGAGAGAGAGAGAGAGAGAGAGAGAGACTCTGTGCTCCGCATGTGTGCTCTTTATGAGTAACTTCACATCAAGTTTCAGAGAACTGATACGCAGTGCATGAACGCAAATACTGCTGGAGCTTAACTTTAATAATATAAGAGCTGTCTGAAATTGTCGAGAAAAGCTGAACTAATGTAAACGTTAAGGGAAAATTACACACACGCACACACACACACACACACACACACACACACATACACAAAAACATAATATGAAGAATGCTGGTAACCAAATGATTTGGGGTGCCATTGACTTCAATAGTATGGACAAAACCACAATGGAAGTCAATGGGAGCCAAAACGGTTTGGCTCAAAATGATGACAGAATAATAATTTTTGGGTGAATCTCTCTAACTGAACTATATACTGCACTAAACTACAATAATTTACTACAATAATAACTACTAAATTAAATAAAACTCACTGTAAAAAAAATCCACCAAGGCTACTTTAACTTAAAAACTTTTACATTTAAAAAAATGTAAATGTAAAATGTATCATTATATTACATTCTAATTTTTTTATTTTATATTTAATTATAATCAAATTGGGTGTACAAGTCATTTCAACTTAAAATATTAATCTGAAGGATTGTTTTAATTCATTTATATTCATTAGCCATTCATGTAATTTATCATTTGATCATTATTTTTTTTACTATTTATCTTTATTATGTTTTTATATTTTATATTTCTCATTAATTTCTTTGCTTATGTTGCTTTTCTATCATTGCCTAATGTTTGTGAGAGAGGTTTTGGTGTCGACAGCGTGGGAACGTACCTTATGGACCCCTGAAAAAAGACAGTTTACATGTTGTTTTACATTACAATGTTAATTGAATAACAATAAACGTCACTGGGAAATTCCTGCATGAAATGTAAACAAATGTTTGTGTTTGTGTGCATTCAGGTGAGACGGATTGATGGCAAGCTCATTCACAGTTGTGAGTTGTGGCATCACATGGCATGCCTGAGCGACGATTATTTATGTTTTCACACCTGACTGAATTATGACAACAGTTCAGTGATCACACACATCTCATTATCTTCTCCTGACTTCACAAGAATTGCATGAATTCAGCCTGGATCCACCCACACAATACTGACCTGAGAAACTGGTAAACAACTACTGCTATGTGACACCGGATGCAAGTTTATATATTTTACCCAGATTTTTTCATGTATTCATCAGATACTTTGGTCCAAAGTGACTACATTGCATTCCGTCAGAATGGAACCCCGGCCTTGGCGTTGCAAGTATCATGCGCTACAGTTTGAACTAAAGTCCTAAAAACATGGAGCAGTTCAGATCATTTGATTTTCTGAGAATTTAAAGAGAAATGTTTGAGTTGACATTGAGAACCTTTGATTTCAGATGTATTTTCAGTGCAAATAATGTTTTGGTGTTTTTTCCCCGAGCACAAATATCTAAATATTCTTAAATCATGATTCATTTATTTGAGAAGCAAAATTACATACAATATTAAGATTTCTTTTCTGAAAAAAAAGTATAAAAATTAAGTGAGTTTTTGCTTAAAAATTACAAAAAAATATATGCCAATGAGGTCATAAAAATGATTGTTTTCCCTTTGAATTAAGTTTGTTTTTCTGACCCCATTGGCAGGTTGTTTTCCTTTTAAGCATTACGTTGCATTAAGCAGTCTTGATTTTTTTTTTTTTTTTTTACCTCTTATCTTGATTCTCAAGTAAACTGATCTTGAATGTTTGGATATTTGTACTGGAAAACAACAGAAAATACTAAATGAGAAAAACATGTTTTGAAGTGTTGTTACACTATTGTTAGCACAGTTTGAGACATTGTTCCTCTTTTCAAACTCCAAAGAAGACATCATCTCAAAACGTCAGACTTCAGTCAAAATCTCCATTCAGTTTTACAGCCTACTAGGAGAAGTGGCTGAGTTATTACAGTAATGTCATGAATGTCAGACCCACTTGTCACAGACTTTCTGTTCGTCCTTCTTTTACGAGATGTGCTGTTGTGTGATTTTACTTCCTGCTTTATGATATCCAGAGGTATTTGAGAATGTCATTGTGGTTGGGACATCAGCAAGTGGAGGCATGCAGTCACAGCTCGATGTGAAAACCTGGTTAATAGGTCTAGTGAACGCATTCACATAATGTTGAGCTAAGGAACATGAACTCTGTCTGAAGCTGCTGTTTGTGTCGGGGACATTTGTTTATGTCTTACCTGATTTGCTTCTATTCTTAATATCTCTAAATGTCCAGTAATATTATCTGAGGAATTCATTTACTTAATACACACTCCTCATAATCTTTCCACAAGCAATTTAAATGAATAACTTGCCCAAAAATAACTAGTTTGTCATTTTGTACTCACCGTCATGTCACTGCAAACCCATATTACTGATGTTTAGCAGAATGTCCAGACTGCTCTTTTCCATAAAGCAGTGACTAGGATCTGTAAAGCTCCAAAAATGTCATAAAAGAACCAAATAGTACCATAATAATAGTCAATATAAGTTATGGGGTTTGTCAGGGTGTTGCTATGCAGTTGCTAAGGTATTCTAACTGGTTAGGGAGTTTAGTAGCTAATGTGTTTTTGAGTGATCGCTAGGGTCTTCTAAGTGGTTGACAGGGGGTTGCTATGCGGTCACTGAGTTTTCTGAGTGATCGCTAGGGGTTTTTGGGGGGTTGCTAGGGTATTCTAAGTGGTTGCCAAGGCGTTGCTATGAAGTCACTGAATGTTCTGAGTGGTCACTAGGGAGTTTTGGTGAGTTGTCAGGGTGTTGCTATGCAGTTGCTAAGGTATTCTAATAGTGGTTAGGGTGTTTAGTAGCTAATGTGTTTTTGCGTGGTTGCTAGGGTATTCTAAGTGGTTGCCAAGGCGTTGCTATGAAGTCACTGAATGTTCTGAGTGGTCGCTATGGAGTTTTGGGGGGTTGTCAGGGCATTGCTATGCAGTTGCTAAGTTCCTCTAAAAAGTAGCTAGGGAATTTTAGGAGCTGTCAGGGTGTTGCTATGCAGTTGCTGGGGTGTTCTCATATCTGCGGTGTTCTAAATGGTTGCTAAGGCGTTCTGAATGGTAGCTAGGGTGTTCTGGGTGGTTTTCAGGGCATTGCTATGCAGTCAGTGGGTGTTCTGAGTGGTAGCTAGGGAGGTTTGGGGGGTTGTCAGGGCGTTGCTATGCAGTTTCTGAAGTATTCTCATATCTGGGGTGTTCTAAATGGTTGCTAAGGTGTTCTGAATGAGGGAGATCTGGGTGGTTTTATGTGGCTAATAAGATGTTCTGGGTGAAAGCTAGATTGTTCTAAGTGGTTGCCAAGCCAAGGAATTGCGATGTAGTAGCTAAAGTATTTCGAGTGGTTGCCAGGTCATTACTACAAGCTTGCTGAGGAATTCCATTGATTGTTAGGTGGTTTCTTAATATCTAAAGTGAAAACGCTCCATACTCAAGTCTCTGAGATTTTCCACTCACTATATCACTAATGCTAGTTATAGCCATTTTACATTCTGGAGTAATTATATCCATGATAACAGAGACACTTTCCTTAGTAAACATCACTAATGGTTTCAGGTTGCTCAGGAAGTCAAAGTCAAGTTACCAACAACATGACAGGAGGCAGAGATTCCTCACCTGGTCACATGATTAGTCACCAGCAGCAGGACGACACACTTTACTGGAACACAGGAATTTTAGGGCATTTCCAACTCACTTCTTCTCAGCTCTCCTTTTCCTTTTCTTGGTCGCTCACTTTCTATTCTCACTCCACCTTATTCCATAACCCTCCCTTCCTGCTTCGCTCAATCCTACAGCATGGTTCTTGTTATCAGTCATTTATATTATCAGGGTTTATGACTCAGTAAGCTGCGATTGAGTGTTGTACTCACTATTTCACACACATTTTCCCTCGCACACACACACACACAAACACAGAATGACATCAAATGTAGCTGATGTGTGTGTGCTCACCATTTCTCATCTCATGAATATTTTAGGGAAATTCTTCCTGAACTCCTTTAGATCTCTCAGTGATAAGCCTTCATATAGAAAAAGGAAGTAAAAAGCACTCAAAAGAGGGATTTTTAAGAGTTACCGACGGCCGGCACACCCTTATATTTGAACAAAAGTAAAGATGAAAATCAGCTTGCATGTGCCTGTGTTTGTTGGTGTGTTTTTTAATAAGTTTTACTTCCTGATACTCAATAAACATGACATCAGGCAGGACAGCTTTCCTGAGAACTGTTAAATAACAACTACAATACACACCCATGTCTGCGGATGAGTGTGTTTGTAAATGCAGTACTGTACTGAGTGGCCATGAAAGCAAACCACACCCCATTTACACGGGCAGGAATTCTGGGAAGAATCTGCCCTCTAGTGGCCAGATAGAGCTCAGGCTTTGTTTGAAATGGCATACTAGCACACTACAGGTACTGCTATTTCTTCAGTATGTAGAATGCATACTGTGCACAGCAAACACTTTTTACTGAATGTAAAAAATTTACAGTATTCAGTAAGACACAATGCAAAAACTTGAAGTGAGTGGTATTTTAAAATACGTTCAAATATGCGATATATTTTTAACATCTGTGTTTTTGGACTGTCAAAATGTTGTTTTTATAGCTGCACATATTTCATATTTTTGATTATATTATATATTGAGCAGGGTGAAATTAGCCAGGGCTTGGGTTAAATGCCACCAAAATTCAAAATGAGGAGAATCATTATTTATTTACTTACTTAGTACATCCAAATCTGTTTTCTTTTAACATTTGAAGTATTTCTTAAAATGCTATTTTGGGCTTAGATGATTGTTCTAATTCAACATGCAGGAAGCTACGAACTACTGTAAAGATTTTTTAAACATTCAGTATATTTTAATATATTGAATAATCACATATTAATTGTTCAGATTGCCAGAAGTTAAAACATTTAAATTAATTAATTAATAATAAAAAAGTGGCTGCATTTATTTTTATA